CCGCTAGCACCCCTGAGCAACGTACTCCCCCCCAGCCCCCCGGCCGGCCCTCGCCAGCCCCGCCGGCGGTGCCTCCCGCGGCGTCGCCCGTGATGCCGCCCCAGACGCAGTCTCCCGGGCAGCCGGCCCAGCCGGCCCCCATGGTGCAGCTCCACCAGAAGCAGAACCGGATCACGCCCATCCAGAAACCCAGAGGACTCGACCCGGTGGAAATCCTGCAGGAGAGGGAGTACAGGTAGGGGCCGTGCCGTGATTCGGGTTACGGGGTCTGGAGCGGCTTGCTCTTCGCTCTCCTCACGCCACCGGTACCTTCGTCCTCTCGAGGCACGCCTTAACGATTCCCCGTCCTGCTTTACCTCTCATTGTCGTGCGACGTGCAGAGATCTGGAGGGACAAGGGGGTGGGGGTTTTCCTTGGAGCTTCTCAAGGCACCTCCCGAAATCTCGTCCCTCCCGCTTTCCAGGGATTGCCCCCACCGACGTTTTATTAGAGACGGCGGGTGCCTGTCCGCTGGGGGGGAGCCCCTCCGCTGTGCCGGCTGACTAGAGCAGAGCTAAGACTCTGGATGCCGAGCAGCCGCTCAGCTGCCAGGAGCCTCCGTCTCACTTGAGATAAGGCCTCCAGAAACCAGAGCCGTGCTCGGCAGCTGACGAGAGTCAGGAGAGGAGCGAAAGTGAATTTGTTGTGCTGGTCCCTGCCTGCCGTGAAATCCCGTCTCCTTCCTCTGCAGGCTGCAGGCTCGCATCGCTCACAGGATCCAAGAGCTGGAAAACCTTCCTGGCTCCCTGGCTGGTGACCTGAGAACCAAAGCTACCATTGAACTTAAAGCACTAAGGCTGCTTAATTTTCAGCGACAGGTAAGCTGTCTGTCCGAGGGAGTCTGCTTTATTAACTCGCTGTGTGGGGGAGCTGCGGGTGGCGCGGAACTCGCGCTGTTCTAATGCTTCGCAGCATCGCCCGTGGAATTAATTCTCCTCTTCTTAATCCGAATCTCTCCAAAAGCTGCGTCAGGAAGTCGTGGTGTGCATGAGGCGAGACACGGCCTTGGAAACGGCCCTGAACGCCAAGGCGTACAAGCGCAGCAAGCGGCAGTCCCTGCGCGAGGCTCGCATCACTGAGAAGCTGGAGAAGCAGCAGAAGATCGAGCAAGAGCGGAAACGCAGGCAGAAGCACCAGGTCAGCTGCGACGTGCTGAACGTGCCGTTTTCAGGGGCGCCGGAGGAATTGGGCGGCTGGAGTTCGCAGGGCTGAACTTTTTTAGGGAATTCCCTTTTTTTAGGGGATTAGAGAAAGGTCCTCTTTTGGACTAGATGATCGTTGATTGGACTAGATGATTGTTGTAGGTCCCTTCCGACCGGAATATTCTATTAAATATAAGAGGAGTCACTCTCACTTAGCTTATGGCATTAGACGTATTAACTCAGCAGAACACCTAAGTGCACGAGTCCTGACGCTGCCTGTCTGCCGTTTCCTTTTCCCCGCAGGAATACCTCAATAGCATTCTCCAGCACGCTAAAGATTTCAAGGAATACCATCGCTCCGTCACGGGCAAAATTCAAAAGCTGACCAAGGCGGTGGCTACTTACCATGCCAACACGGAGCGCGAGCAGAAGAAGGAAAACGAGAGGATCGAGAAGGAGAGAATGCGCCGTTTGATGGTAAGGAGCGGCACGGGAAGCAGTTTGTGGTGCGTGCCCGCCATGTATCGCGTCTGCGCGATGAGCTGCTGCATACTCAGGGTGCGCACAGAGGGCTCGCCTCGCTTAGCAGGGTGTTAACGGTCCTCCTTTCCTTAGGCTGAAGATGAGGAAGGATACCGCAAGCTCATCGATCAGAAGAAGGACAAGCGCTTGGCCTACCTGCTGCAGCAGACGGACGAGTACGTAGCCAACCTGACGGAGCTGGTGCGGCAGCACAAGGCCGCGCAGGTGGCCAAGGAGAAGAAGAAGAAAAAGAAAAAGAAGGTGAGTCGAAAGCGAAGCGTCCCCGGGGGGCCGGAATGACGTCTTCGCGGAGGCGCTGATGGTGTCGTTTCCTTCGGCGCTGGGTCGCGAACAACCGTCTTCCTCCTCTTTCAGAAGGCAGAGAACGCAGAAGGGCAGACTCCGGCCATCGGGCCAGATGGCGAGGTAAGCCCAATAATCTTACTTCGTGCCGTGCCAAGTAGGGTAGGAAACGTCAGCCACGTGCTGAAAAGGCCCCGCTACAATCCTCCCCGCTGCAAGGCCGCCGCCGATGATGAGATCTAACGCAGTGGGCGGCTAAATTGAGACTTCCCAAAATAGAACTTACGCCAGGATGGAAAGAGAGATCTCTCTGCCCATCCTGGACGGGAATAGTTTTCTCGGGCAGGCTCCAGACCTGCCGCAGGGGAGGGCGGTTCGGTGTTTGGGAGACCTGGGGGGATTGGTTTCCTCCCCAGCACACCTCCTGTCTGAGCTTGGGCGGGTCGGTCGGGTTGGGATTCGTGTCGCCTACCGAGGGATCCACAGGGATTTGTGTCGCCTACCGAGGGATCCACAGGGATTTGTGTCGCCTACTGAGGGATCCACAGGGATTCGTGTCGCCTACCGAGGGATCGCTCTGCACGCGCGAGCGGTCCCGGCGATGCGCCGGCGTCAATCCTGTGCATTGAACCTCGTGGCCTCGGCACTTTGCAAAACCCCTTGCGAGCAGAAGAGCTTTTTGAGTGATATTTCAAATTAATCGTTCCTGGGTGAATGAAGCTTGGCATCTGAACACGCCTTCCCACGCAAAGATTCTTAATGTCTACGCTGATTTTTCAAAGCAAAATGCTAAATCTTGTCAGCTTTCGAGCTTTGCCCGTCCTCTGGTGACGCGGTATTTCAAGCAGTCGGCCATTTTGTTCTTCCCAGTGGTTGTTGCGGGGGTCCTGGGGTGGGTTTGGTCGAAGCGGTAGATGTTGATGTAAATGCAAGCTCTGTTTCGAGGCAGAAAAACCAAAATACTGACCCGCAGCCTGACTTTGATTCCTCAGCCGCTGGACGAGACGAGCCAAATGAGCGACCTCCCTGTCAAAGTGATCCACGTGGAGAGCGGCAAGATCCTCACCGGCACCTGAACCCCGGGTAGGTCCCGGGGTGGGGGGCGACGATGGGAGATCGCCTCTGGCCCCCTCGTGCCTCTGATCTGCGGCACGCCGGAGCTTGAAGGGGGACGGGGAGCTCCGGGCGTGCGCTGGGATTGTGCCCGTAGCGATGCCTGTTGGGGGGGCTGGGATCGATGTTTGGTGCGGGACTGGGGGGGAGGAAAGCGCTTGGCCGGGGCCCAAACCTCGGGAAGCGCAGGGAGCTGGGAGCAGCGGGGCTGCGGATCGGGAAGGAAAGATTTCATCAGCCTCCCTCTGTGCAGCCACTGAAATTATGTGGGGAAAGGCTTGCAGGAGGCTTGGTGGGTGGTCCCGGACGCAGGCGCTCGGGCTCGTGCGCTTTCCCGAGAGCGCGTGTGAGAACTTGAACTAAGTGAGGGAAAAAATAAACGAATAAGCATTTTATTTAAAAAAAAAAAAAAAAAAATTTTTTTAAATCCTAATACCGATATCAAAACCCGAGTTTTAGTGCAAGGGTTCCTAGAACCACGCTGATCTCGTGCTGTGTATAGAGTGCTGTTGGTAGCAGATTTGCAATTAAATATTAATATTTGTATTTAATTAGATATGAAGTAGCTCCGAGATCTGACAGTGAAGAAAGTGGGTCAGAAGAGGAGGAGGAGGTAAGGAGAAATACCACCGGTCTCCCTTACGCTTTCGTGTTCTAAATATTTTTGAGAGAATAGGAAACAGCCGTATGTACCGCGCTAAGCTCCTCTCAATAATTACTTTTTCCAGCACGGGTCTGTGTCAGTCAGCTCAGACACGTGTATTTGGGATAAACCAAAAAAACCCCACGTAAAGAAAGCGAGGGGCAGCGAGGAGATGGCGCGCTCAGTTCGTTAGCTGCCCGGTTTTCTTCCCAGATATTTCTCACGTAACTCTTTGGGTGTTCGGAAGCGAACAGCGTGCGACTGTGCTTCTGGTAGCCTCTGTCTTGGTTAGCGGACGCGCCCGTGCGGGCGCAGCCTCGGTCTGCGAGCTCCCGGGGCGGCGAGCCCTTCCCCTGGGGGTTTTCGGAGCCGTTGTTGTCCGCAGGCTCGGTCACTCCCGAGCGCGGCTGAGCAGGTTTTGCTGCCGTTTCCATTGTGTAAGCGAGAATAAGCGGCTTTGTGCTCAGAAAGGCGCGCTTTGTGTCTCCTGGCAGGAGGAGGAAGAGGAGCAACCGCAACCTGCCCAGCCTGCCCTGCCTGTGGAGGAGAAGAAAAAGATCCCCGATCCAGACAGCGACGATGTCTCAGAAGTGGATGCCAGGCACATTATCGAGTGAGCCCTGCTTCTTAACCCGCTCCCGCGGCGTGCCGTCTTCCGTTTCGAACTCACTTTTGTGAATCTCGCGTGCTTTCTGTCAAAGGAGCGGAATCCGGCGGGCGGTATTTGCTCTGCTCTCGGTTTTTGAGGGCAGTCTTTCCAAAATGAGACCTGATTTGGCACGTATTGGGAAAATTAACCACCCCGGGACTGATGGGGCTCCCCAGGAGTTTTCTCCAAAGGGATCATCTTTCTTATCTCCAGTTTTTTTTCCGTTTCCCCCCGCCCCAGGAACGCTAAGCAAGACGTTGACGACGAATACGGGGTGTCTCAAGCTCTGGCGAGGGGCCTGCAGTCGTACTACGCCGTGGCCCACGCCGTCACCGAGAGGGTGGACAAGCAGTCCACGCTGATGGTCAATGGAGTCCTCAAGCAGTACCAGGTGAGAGGCTGCGGAAGGGAGCGCCTGCCGTACCGTACGGCCCCGCCGTACGTGGGCACCCGCTTTCTGGCGGTGCCGCCGGGAGGTTTCGGCGGGAGGCACCGAGGTTCGGGCTGTGCCGAGACGCTCCCGGTGGCGAGACAACGGGGAGCTGAGGGGGGAGCCAGCGGGTCTGTCTGGTGCGAGGTAACGAGCCAGGCTCGCTCGCTGCTTAAAACAAAGAACGTCAGCTCCCTGCGCGTGCGTCCGTGGTCCTGAGAGGAGAGGAATACATCGGTGCCGGTGGCTGGCTTTGAATAATTAACATGGGATCTTTCATAATGTATAGGGAGTTCATCTACATAATGCATAAGATGGGGGGAGGAGCGTGCGGGTCGTTAGCGCATCTGATACGCGACTCCTCTGCCTGCAGTCTGATTTTTTTTTTTTTCCCTTTTCTTTTCGATCCCTCCTTTTTCCCCGAAGATCAAAGGTTTGGAGTGGCTGGTGTCCTTGTACAACAACAACCTGAACGGCATCCTGGCAGATGAAATGGGTCTGGGCAAAACCATCCAGACCATCGCTTTAATCACATACCTCATGGAGCACAAACGGATCAACGGACCCTTCCTCATTATAGTACCTCTCTCGTAAGTGCGCTGCCTGAATTCGTCACCCCTCCCAGCCCTGCACAGCACAGAAAACGCTTGGCCTGGCCTCGGTGCCGGCTCCAGGCCTCTGCGGGGTGATTCCCTGTTGCGCAAGGGCCAGTTTTACCGTTTCTCTTTCTTTTTTTTTTTTCCCCCCAGAACTCTGTCGAATTGGGCGTATGAGTTTGACAAATGGGCTCCTTCTGTGGTGAAGGTCTCATACAAGGCAAGTGCCGGCGTTATTTTTACACGCGCCTACCGGGGTCCTTTGGCCGCTCGTTTCGTGAGGATTCCTTGGATGCCAGTTTGCCTTTTCCTCCTTCCAGTCCAACAATATTTCCATTATCCCACGGAAGCTGGGACGCTTCCTGGCGCTAAATCGATGAAATCCACATTTGTTTTTCATTCCTTAACGGCCGAAGGAATCCAGCTGCTACCGTCCGCACAAATGTTCTCGCTGCCTTTCTGTAACTGGAACGATTGTTCCGTGTGGATAATAACTACTCCCACCACCTCTCTTCTCCTGGAAATTATGTTCTGGTTTAACGTTTCTGTTTGAAATTCTTTTTCCAGGGCTCTCCAGCAGCAAGACGGGCATTCGTACCTCAGCTCCGAAGCGGGAAATTCAATGTCTTGCTCACTACGTACGAATATATCATCAAAGATAAGCACATCCTGGCCAAGGTGAGTCCTGCCAGCAGCAGGCAACGGCAGCTCCCTGTTCGGTGTTATTTGGGCTGCGGCAGGAGGATCGCCCGTCCTCGCTGCGCTCGTGGGCACTGCGCAGACGTCACCGAGACAGCGCCTGTCAGAAAAATCCTGCCGTCCTAAGTGAGATTTTTATCTCTGGAGGCTCTCGGCGTCACGTGGCAGGAGGCGAGGAGCCGCTGCTTACCCTCAGCAGCCAGAACTGATGTAGCATTCTTGTTATTTTTGGCTGCGTATCCTGTGGATACAGCAAAGCTTTTTTTTTTTTCCCCTTTTAATAAAGCAATTCCTAGGACGATGAATGTTTATTAGAACCCCTACAAGATCGTCATTGCCCTTCTGCCCTAGCTGAGCGGTGGAGGGTTGTTCCCCGTACTCAGCCAGCAGCCATGGGGCGAAGATCAAATGTTGAGGCTTCCCCTGGGTTGGAAAGGTGGTGCCGTTTCGGAAGCAGGCAGACAACGCGCCAAGCCAAAGCCCCGGGTTTAAGGGGTTTAATCTCGCTCACAATTAGCTCTGCAGCACCGCTTCCCGCGGTGAGCGGGGTCTGCCTGGGTTGCAGATGTGTTGAAGCTTGATGTGTCTCCCCTCGGCAAGGCTTCCAAGGGAACCGTCTTCTCTTCTCCCTTTGTATTGCGGAGAGTTAAACGCCGTTTGATTTGTTAATGGCCAAAAAGCTCGAGAAATACTGAAACGCCCCAAAGCTGGCATCAGGCTCTGCCAGCTGTTTGGCATTAGCGTTCTTCCTTTCTCCCCGCTCCTTCCGTCTCCGAGCCAGAGACACAGAGCGCTCCTGATGGGAGCAGCTCCCAGGCGGGACCTTAGGAAAAGTTAGAGCGGGTTTCCACAATCCCGGCTAGCTTGGATCCCTCCTGGACGCCCCCGGAGGGATGTTGGTGCGATTCTCCGGTCGTAGCTGCGGTGGAGGGAGCCGCCGTCCCTTGCCCACACCGCCCTTCTCCTTCCCGCAGATCCGCTGGAAGTACATGATCGTGGACGAGGGCCACAGAATGAAGAACCACCACTGCAAGCTCACCCAGGTCCTCAACACGCACTACGTGGCTCCGCGCCGTTTGCTGCTGACGGGAACCCCGCTGCAGAACAAGCTCCCGGAGCTGTGGGCCCTGCTCAATTTCCTCCTGCCGACCATCTTCAAGAGCTGCAGCACGTTCGAGCAGTGGTTTAACGCTCCTTTTGCCATGACGGGAGAGAAGGTACAGCAGGAAGCCGGGTGGTGGTGGGGGGGGTGTCAGGGCTGCCGTCGGCCGCCGGGCGTTTTGGGTGGCTTGTGTTTGTAAACGCTTGTAAAAAAAATCTCTAATTCCCACTGGCAAGGTGCAGAGCACCGTCCTGTAAAGTGTCATTTCTTTGGGATGGGTTTTACTGGAAAGATTGGAAAATACGGAGCGTTAATTGAGTACTGGAAGCGAGGGTGGGTAGCTGGTTCTCCCGGCGCTGAGATACCCGAGCGCTGGCGGGAGAGGCTGGTTGGGCTCTTGCTAGTGCAGTTCTCAGGCGGTGAAGCTGCTGTCGGTGCCGTTGCTAATGGCTCTGGAGCTGTTTGAAGCGACTCCTGTTGAGTCGCGGTAGCTGAGGTTTTGCAGAGCAGGTTATCAAGCAGCTGGGGGAAGAGAAGCGAGCCCGAAAAATAAAAATACTAAAAAAATCAGTGCAGAAACCTCAGATTGCGAAGATGACGTCAAAGAGACTTTCAGCATCCCAGTTCCGTCGCCTGTGGAGCGATGTGTCGCTGTGCTTTAACCCCGACGCTGGGAATCTCGCCGCCGTTGAGGGACGCTGACGGGGGAGGGAACTTCCAGGCGTCCTTGTGTAACGGTTCCCTTTCCCGGTGACGCAGGTGGACCTGAACGAAGAAGAAACCATCCTGATCATTCGGCGTTTGCACAAAGTGCTGCGCCCCTTCCTGCTGCGGAGGCTGAAGAAGGAAGTCGAAGCGCAGCTGCCTGAAAAGGTAACGGCTGGGAGAAACTGTCCCGCTCTTTCCCTCTTCCCCCCTCTCGGTGTGCGTGTGGAGCTTTATTCAGCTCCACGAAGAGGTGGCCGGGTTGATTCCCCTGAGGACGGGGGACTCGGGGTCTCCCCGGGCTTTAGAAGCGGATGAATTTGTGCCTCGCTTCAGAAGGATCCAGCGTCTCGGGGTTTTTGGAGGTGCTCGCTCGCATCGCCTCGGGAATTAACCTCTCCCTCGGTCCTTGCAGGTGGAGTACGTGATCAAGTGTGACATGTCCGCCCTGCAGAGGGTCCTCTACAGGCACATGCAGGCCAAGGGGGTGCTCCTCACGGATGGCTCCGAGAAGGACAAAAAGGTCTGGCCGCCAAAGTCCCTGCTTTTGGCCGATTCCTCCGCTGTTGGAGTGGGGCTGGAAACGCGACCGGGGTGTCTGTTGTGTCCCCAGCTGCTGCAACAACAGATAGAGCAAAAAAAAAAAAAAACCCCTTTTTACAAGCAAAGCAAGAAGTCCTG